CTGTCCATCCACAGACAACAACAGTCCAGGAGGAAGAATGTGGAGGAGTGAGGTGCGTGTCTGAAAACAAACTGTGTGCTTCTTCTCTCTCCCCTTCACTCTTTGGAACAAGTCTTAAAGGCGCAAAAATTATTCAGCATAAACAGAACAGACAATTAGGGATAAAAGCATCACACAGTCAACTCAGGACAAGGGGCCAGTGAATGACAGCAGCTTTCACTGGTGCACAGCCGCAGAGGCAGCCACGAAAACCCCTGTGATAAGAGCCACTGCTGAGGTCAGAACCTATCACAACAAGCTATTACTAGCCACTGCAACAATCAAAGCACACCCTCTGCCTCTTCTCCAAAATCCAGCTCAAATCTAGGCCAGCAGAATTATTCACACAACTGGAATGCAGCATGACATGTGTCTGTATAGACAGACAGATAAGGAATTAAAGAACAGGTGTGTAATGCTCTTCAAAATATTTATCTTCTAGCTGACATGGAGATAAGAGGTACAGACAGAAAATTAAATGGATCTTAGCTGTAGACACAAGGAACACAACACAGCTGAAGAAGACAGAAAGTATCTGGAGAGGATATTAGGGCACAGGAAGTAAGACAAAATATACATCAGAGCAGAGAAGTAGTCTGTGCAGCTTTGGGGTGAAAAAAAGAGTAAAGTGCTGTTTGGGATAGCTTTAACACTAGGCAATATCTTTGTCTTCTCAATCAAGTGCTATGTAATACATTAACATTACTCCTGGTTTAGATCATCTCAGATCACAACTGAACTATGCAGGAACTCAATATTGCTTACACAGGATACCTAACTTCTGCAAGGAGCCTGACTTTAACATAAAAGGCAAGATTTGGAAAGCCAACAGGGGCATAATTACAGATAGCACCTTTAGCACAACATGAGCATAATTCTTTGTGATATTTTGTAACCTTCACAGAGGGGGAAAAATGGGAAATGAGCAAAAGGAAAAGTAAGTTTAAACAGAAACAAAAAGAGAAACAATGAAGTGGCTTTGCAGACATTTATAGGAAGTTTCTTTCAAGCATAAAGGGCAGCTTGATATAAGAAGTTTGAAAGTATGGGAGCAGAAACTAGGAAGATCTGAGGCAGGAAATGGCCTCTTGAGGGAAAAAAAAACCAACTAAAAATCGCTGAGGACAGGTTTTGAAGTACCTTGAAAGTGAAAGGGAACAGTTTATGTGTGAAATCCAATGAAAGAGAAGACAAAAGAAGAACCTGAGCAAGAGATAAGTCAGTAGAAAATGTGGAAAATTCTACCTGTAGGACATTTCTAGATGATATGAGTGGAGCCAAGCTGCAACTGGAAAGGTTACAGAAATTTGTTAGCATAACGATGGGGATTTGGACAACAGTTTTCATGTGATGGGCTAAAAAATAAAGAAATATAAAATCCCTTTGTATCCAGAATTTGCAAGACTAAAATTGAGACTCTACTCCTGATTCTAAGAGTCATCACATCATAGAAAATTTTTAGATTTCAGTCCTCAATGGCATAAATTAATGATTATTCACAGCAACTGAGAGTGAATAAGAGGTGAAAATGTGTAAGCTTTAAAGCTGTGATTCAGCCATATTGAGCTAACAAAACAACTGTGAACACATATGAGTGACACAGGACAGAATTTAGACTCCTTAGGACAAAAGAAGACACGGAATAGCAGGCTATTGACAAAGAAAGGTGGCTAAATTTGTGCATGAAACTTCCAAGAAGGAACTGAGCACAGGAGAAGAAAAGGTGACTGTGGAAGACATACTGTGCAGATGCAACAAAGGAAAAGCTTTCAGAAATACATTCACATCAATACTTAAATAGATCAAGTGTAACGAACACAAGAAACTAAGATACTTTATCACAACACACTGAAAGACTGACCACAGATAAAAAGGAAGCTTTTTCAGAATTGTTGTCTGGCCCTATCCATGTCCACAGCTCAGCACTCCTGCCATTTCTTTAGCAAGTTACAGAATCACAGATTGGCCCTGTGCAACTACAGAGCACTTACGTCTGAAATCTCAGGTACTTCACAGGCAGTTTGGTATTGCTCTGGCTGTGAATGCTATGAATGTGAGACAAAACAAACAGGATTTCCAAAGCGTATGCCGGCACACTCTACTGAAAACAGGGGAGTGAATAAAAATAAACAGTAGTGGTAGTAGTAGTACCACTACTACTATATTGATTATTATCATTACTGCAACCATGCCAGCTGTGGCTTAAGTGATGCAGTGGTACAATACAAAACCAGTATTTCCTAAAGCATGAACTAATCTAAGATTTAAGAACCAACCCCAGCACAAAAAAACTGCAGCCTTACATAGCAATGCTATTATATGGCACATAGAAATTAGGCCATATTTTACAGCAAAGAGCATGGATTTTCCTAGTCACTTGTGTGGAACATTCAGTACCTCTCCTGGCTTCCCATTTATTAAGGGACAATTGGTAAACTGCAGCTGAAAACAGGAAAAATACTGAATGCTGTTTAGAATCAGGACTGAAAAGATGTCTGTTCTCTGTTTTGGTTTCAGAAGGCTACAGCAATATTTGTCAGTACAGCACAGTACAGTATTGTAACTGTATTTTCTGTTCAGTAACAGCTCAGTACATTACCTGTACAGTAACTACATTTTCTCTCACTCCTCACCATTCCCTTCAAACTGATCACAGGAATTGGAACCAACTGCTGAACAGCAACTGCTAGGCTGTCCCAGTATGAGCAGGATACTGCATGTATTTGGCCAATTCTCCCTGAACAAGACAATCTTAGAGGTATTTTCCAATAGCAGTAATCAAACTGCAAGAACCAGATTAATCAATTAAAGCCAATCTTTTTGGGAAATAAAGAAAAGGAGAGAACAATCATTAAACTGTACTTGTGAAATATTACTCAATTTCTAGAGATGGTTACATAAGAAATATTCTGCTAGAAATATGCTAGCAGAAATATTTAGTTTGACTTTTAAGTATATTCCATAAATACCTCCACAATGCTCAAAGCTACGGAAAAAAATATTTACTCAGCTGCTGTACATGAACAGCATCCATCAATCTCAGTCATCTGAGTAAGCCAATTAACCATGATCACTTGCAGTGCTGACAGGCACCACAATGATTGGAATCTATCTTCCCTAACTGAAATAAAAATGTACACTGGGAAAAAAATATAATTCTAACTTCTTTTAAAGGAGATACTGTACAATAAGTAACAGTTAATATTAAAAGACCCATTGGTACTTTTGTCCTGTCTTATGAACAAATTGATCACGGAATTCCTGCCATTTGAAAGAGAATTAAATCAATTTGCATGAACTGCATGTACTTGACTTGCCAAAAATTTCTGTTGCTTGCACACTGAATCCACACAACTTTAGGAAACCTGATAAATTCTCAAGTATGGGCCAAAATGCATCCCTCATGATCTTCCTTTCATTCAGGAAGCTGCCAGTTTTTCCAGGAGGATGCTGTAGGAGATGGTGTCAAATATTTTACTGAAGTCTAGGTAGAACACAGCCTTTCCCTCATCTACTAAGCTGGTCAGTTGTTCTGCATGTGCTGGCTCTCTTAAACTAGAAAACAGAAGCTATAAGCATAGCTCATGCTCAATTCCAGTGTGTGCAATACCTACTGGTCACAGGCTGAAAAGTTTACTTAGGTTACTGGAAAAAGACGTCTCTACCACTTGCTAGATCCTCCTTACACATCTTCCCACTTTGCTTCCACAGTAAGTTCATTCAGAAGAGGATTAGACAGAGAGAAGCAAAAGAGAAAGACAAAGAGGATTAGACAGAGGGAGGCAAAAGACAAAACAAAGACACCACTTACACCGAACACGGTCACTCTTATGCTCTATCACAGATTTCATTACATGCAGTCCTGACCTGAGACATCGACTTCCCTGCCACAGCCCCAGGCAATGCCAACCCTAAGCTGGTTAGGCCTTTATGCTAGAATGATCTGCCACAGACCTGCATCTTTTCCCACAGTATCTAAGTACCACTGGATTTTCTTGCTTGGCTTCCTATCACTGGAATTCGCTTGTTCTCCACCCCCACATGATGACATATGTCTAAACCAAAAGATCCCTATTAATAATTGAGAATTACTGCACTCTCAGGAAATGCTCATAAGCCCTCTGCACTGGCATGCTCTAGCCTCTGAACAAAACTGTTCTCTGCCATGCAAATTCAATACTGTCAGCAATTCTGTAGGGAGGAAGTAAAGGAGGTAAACTCTAAATCTAAGCAAGGCCCCTTCTTAGTCCTGGGTAGAAGTCATACCAAAAGGCCTTTCTAAAGCCTCCACCATTTCATACAACACACAATCTAAGAGAACTAAGACAATACCACATCCCAAACTTCCTCATAAGTGCTGTTACTTCAGTGTTGGTACTAAACAGATAGGTCAGATCTCAACAGGTGTACCACAAACTAAGTGAGATGTATTTCTTAACTTCTAGGAAACCAGTCATGTATACACACACACACACTGAAAAGACACAGAAGACTAAATGGAAAAAGAAGGACAAAAGAGTTAATTCAAATTTTGATTTCTATAAATTTGAAGAAAAACCAAACAAACAACAGATCACTTCACTGAAAACAGTTTTGTTCAAATACTGTGTCAATTGTTATTTTTCTTAGGCTCTGAAGAGTAGCTCCATGAAATCAAACCAGGCCAGAGATAAACCAGATATATGCAAATATTGTGGAAATGTTCAACACAAACTAAAACAAGGATCTGATACAATGTACTCTGTGTGACCTCACTTTTTTAAGAGAAAAATTATTTTTAAAATTACAACAATTTCAAACAGAAGGACTAAATGTATCTCCACAGTAACTAAAATCATATCAAACAGCATAAGAATATACAGTAAGAAATAAAGAAAAATTTCAATGAGATTAGAATTATTTCATAATATTAACCCATAGCAACATGCAGATGATATTTTCTGTCAATAATCAGAACTTACCATATTGATTGGGTCAACTGGACCGATGCTGTTAACATAGACATCTGTTTCAATGACTGTAGTTCTCACTACACAAAACAGTAACCATAATAATTACATATTTCATTAACTCTGTGCATTGTTAATGCAATTTATTTCATTTAACTAAAAACAGCGTATCTGGTATTCTTTTATTAGATTCAGAATAATTAAATTTCTGGTTTGTTCATTTTGTGAAGGATCATATGTGACTTGGCTCTCTTATTCCATATGACTTTTTAGAACTTTTTAATTCATAATACAATCATGCCCGTGCTATTTGATCCATATAAGACAGATAAAAAAGGCAAAGAAAGGAAAAACAAATAAAAAAAAGAAACCCAAAACTCTCTTCCAACATAAAAATACAGTCCTAAGAAGAAAACAAGTTTTGAACATTTTTTTCATACAACAAACCATGAGGTCTGGGACAAATATGTTTATCAGCTACAAGGAGTCAATATGAAGTGCTTTCTATCAATTTCTGCTGAGAATAAGTAACAGATTAAAAATAACTTTTCACCACAGGTTTATTCGAGTCATAAAACTATAGCACACCTAGGGATTACTAAAGCTCTTTCATCAGCTTGATTAATACACTGGTTAAAACACCAAATTGAAAGCTCATCAATTTAAGTTATTTAAAAGGTAAACATTACCAAACTTATTTTTCTTTAAATACGGGGAAAACACTCACTGTGCAGATAGACAATCAAAAACTTTAAAAAATATGTTCCATTGCAGAATATACTCTCTACTCTGTGCATTTTCAGAAGGACGCAAAGTCTCAGAGTGTACATAAAAGGCACACCTGAAGTACAGGAGGCTCTGATAGTTCATTTTTTTTTCCTTCTAATGGATTTATACAGAAAAAAAAGGGCACAAATGAAAGAGGAGAGGATGCATTTTTATTTCATCATTCTACCAAGCATCTGCCTTCTAGTTTGTGCTGGAGAACCAGACTGTGGACACAAGAGAATATGTGTCCTTGTACCCAGTGGAATGGAGAGGGATAATAATAATAGAGCTCTGCTGGTCCTTTTATGGTATGACACAATAAAATAAGCATGTCTTTCAAGCTGCAGATAAAAAAAGTGGGAAGGTGCAAACAAAAAGGCATTTTGATTTCATAGGAGAGGGACCTTAGGTCACCAGATACAATTTTTTTATACAGCAAAACTTCAGAGACTGCCTAGGGTTTAACCACAAACCTAACTTCTGAAAATTTAACAGACATACAGAAAGCAAGACTGTAACACTGACATCCTTGCCAACTACAATGACAGGCAAGATACTTTTCCTAAATATCCCAAGATACTTTTTCCCTGCCAAGCTCACTTGGGAGGAAACTTGCCCTGATTCCAAATCTGGTTAATGGTGTGAACATAAGCCTGACAGATACACAGACTAGTAAGGCTGCACAAAGGATTTTCTGTATGACCACAGAGCACAGAGTCACTTGATCACCATACTGTCTCCAGCATACTTCAGAGAAAGTTTAAACAGATTCTGGAAACCAATTCATTTCCTGGGGGAAAAAACATAAATACTTCCTGCAATGATACTTATGGGTCCCTTCCAATTCAAAATATTCTGTAATTCTGTTATTCATTGATTCTGACCTGCAAATGTTTTCAATTTCTGCAGGGCTCATAAAGGAAGGGGGACAGCATGAGAACTCATACACACAGACTGAAATATCAGAGTAGGAAAAAAGTTTATCTTGTATGTACATAGTCATATGTATAACATAATCCTTTTGACATATATAATATTCTGCAAACAGATCTCCTCTTCCTTTAATTTGCAATCCTATTTATAACAGCAGCCTCACTGCTAGACCAGAACACAAGCAGGTGGATCAAAGTATATCTTGCCTTATTCCTCAAGTAATGCTGAATACTTCCTTGAAATACAACTCACAGGATTCTTTTCCCCTCCACCTCCTTTTTTTCTCCTCTCAATTCCAGTTGTACTCAAGAAGCTAAATACTCTGCAGATGCAGCCACTCCCTTTCCACCAGTCTTTGTGTCATCTGCCAGCTTTACTACAAAAATGAATTGCTAAAGTAATCCAAAATATCATTATTCTCGATCAAAAATTTCCTATGACACCACACTATAGATATCCCAGCCACTGGCATCCTTTATTAACAACTAAATTTCAAGCTCTGTCAGTGACACAGTGTTTAATGGGAGCTGTGTCAATTTTAAGAAATTCCAACTTGCATCATGCAGTACTTCATCTGCCACAAGGGCTTTCCTGTAGTGAGCCACTCAGTGAATTTTGCCTTTTCCATACTTCTCTGAGTAAGATTATAAGAAGTATTAAGAGCCAGTGAACAGTTTAAAAATCAGCCTCTGTTGAAATTATTTTAATTGACATAAATGATCCAGAGAGAGAAACTCAATTCAAGAGGAATAAGCTTATTTTGTTACCTTAGATCTTCTATATGGTACAGAGAAATGTACTTCTGAATTAGAAGGATTAATTAATACTTCTCATGTTCTTGCGTTGAAGTGATAATAGTTAATGAAAATGACAAACACTGGAGGAAAATACCTTCTTGATACTTTGAGAAGAACAAATTGAGAAGATTTTCCGACCCTGACTGCTTTCTATTTAATTTAAAACCTGGTATCAGCCCTGAAAACTCAAGTACGAAGAAGGCTATTTAACACATCCTGCATGAAGTGCAGAGCAGCAGTGTTCTAAACAAGAGGAGAAAGGGCTTGAACATTTTAAATATTTAAACTGAAAGACAGTATGATGCAGGCTAGAGTAAAGCAAGAAGGTGAGAGGACAATAGAGTGCATACTCAAGAGGAAGGGGGAAACAGAGAAAGAAGAGCACAAAGGAACAGCTGACCACAAGGTCAGCTTCTAATGTAGCTGAAGGACACAGAGAACCTGTTTGGTAAGCCTTTGGTAAGCCCAATCTAGAGAGGTATACTCACTTTTTGATCTCCTTCTTTTTTTTTTTTTTTTTTTGCTAGACTAAACTTCTGGTTTTAAAAATTTTGAAAAAAGTTTATTCCTGGTAAGAAAAACATAGCAATAAAAATCTATCTCAATCATTGACAAATTATTTTAGTAATTGCCCCTGGTATTCAGCCTATATTTTTACGGGCTCAATTTTCAGCTTTTAATATTTCATATATCTCTTCTTGCTACACTTAAGAGCTCTTGTTATCAGCTATTTTCCTTCTATAAACACCTATCTCCTGACACAAATAATTATCATTATTATAAAAGTCCAGAACACTGCACTTTTTATTGCTTAATTCTGCTATTTTTATTCCTCCAATCTATTACTTCAATACATTAACCTAGAGCATGGTAGTCCACCTAAATACACTAACCCCATAGTTTACCACAATTCCCTCATTTTCTAATGAAGGTCTAAATCACATCACCTTTGTTTTTAATTAATATTTCTTATGCTCTTCAACTTTAACTAAGACCACTTTTATAACTTCATCCAGGCTTATTTTCTTTGGGCATGTTTGCTATAACTCCTCACTACTTGCCTAAAGAAGCAACCCCTTTAGTGATAAAGCAGTTACTCAGCAAATAAATTTGGTGAGTACCATATTCAGAACTAATTAAATCCTTCAATTTGTAATAGTTTTTAATGGAATAATACAATTCTCACAATCAGCTATCTAAGATTATTATATTGAAAATTCAGCCTCACGTGTCTACAGTAGGCTTCCATGTCAACCTCTGAAGAATTTTTTCAAAGTGATTTTGAGGAAGGCAGAGCCCTGTCCTCTAAACTTTTTATCCTTCTATTTAAAAGAAATACATCTTTCGCAGATATCCATCCACTTTTATTATTTCCATGATTTTCTATGCAGTGCACATGTCCAATACCTTCAACATTCCCTGAATATGTGTTTCTCCATTTTACTCTTGTATTTTGATTTTCTTCAATTATTGGAAAATATTCTTCAACTCAAAATAAATCTCTCTCTAACTCGTATTTTTTTAACTTGTTTTGCTGCCTGGAATAAAACTTAAAACCGTTCCAAAGAGTGTTAAAATGCAAATGTAAAAGCAAGTCCTTAATGGAAAGCGTTGACAGTGGCACAATATAGTGATATGCACACATGATGCATTATTTCTACAATTTTTATAAGGTTATTCAACTAGTATATCTAACAAATATTGTCCAATTAGAAGAACAGTTGGTTAGGTAATTTCCTCTGCTCCACTGAAGCATTCCCCCCCCCACACACACCCCCACCCCGATCTTTCAGCCCTCCATGTTATTGTGTCTACAGTGTATGGTGCAAAACAAAGTGTCCTTGCTAGACTAATAAACAGAATTTTAAAAATGTATTAGTAAAAGCTTGTTAAAAGATGGGAGAAGTCAGGAAAAGTACTAGAAGTTATAACTATGCCTTAACAGTCTGCAAAGTTACAAACATATGAACAATATATAAAAATCTAAAGATTTTTAGGAATTATTTTGTGCTTATTACTTTTCAGCCTGTATCATAATTTCATCACTGCTACACTAGGAGCACCTGTTCAACAGAATACTTTCTAATACATTTATTTTTGGAGAATTAGCACTTCTGTTTGAAAGTCCTGTGTTTTCCACATATTCTTTATATCTCTTAGAACATCACTATTCACATTAGTGCACTTGAGAGATGTAATTATTTACCCATGTTCTGCTTATAGGGTAGTAACAACTATCCACATTTCTCTAGGTATTCAATTTTTCTATGTCCATGAGTAATTACCCTTAAATTCCCACCATTCTTAAAATTTCCATCAATGATGAGTTGTCTTAAACTGTTAATGAAAACACTCACTAAAGTTGTAGATATGTGATGATTGTTTCCTATTTTTAATTAAATTTTCAGATAGTGCAGTTGTGTTTCGCACCTACACACATCACTGCTGGAAAAAATAATCTGTACCTTGATAGGCTAATATTAATGTATCAGTGCCCCTAGGATGAGAGAGGTGAAAAATGAGAAGCCAGAATTCTTTCCATTAAAAAGGAAAGTTCAAAAATAATAGCTACTTTGATGCAGGACTAGAGCTGAAACAGTATGGTTATAAAATCATGCACCCAGAAGGTAATGTTACAGTGAGAATAATACTGCTCTATTAGTATATCAACACTCCAAGGTTGTATCTGTAATTAAAAATATTTATACCAAAGACAGGAGACTTTATCAGATAACTACTATTACTTCATACAGAGTAGAAGAATGCTAGAACATTTATTCTCCAAACACCTCAAGCCTACTACATAAATTGAGTTAAAGGCCAGTAAGATTACTAAACATAGCAAAGGGAGGAAGTTAAGTAATTACTACAACTCATGGATGTTAGAATGAGACAAACATAAAATGATAAGAGTGGTTTTCCCCTACTAAATTTCAGTATTGCCTCCAAATTTCCAATTTTCATTTGGCTCTTCTTTAGCATGTCCCTCAGCTAACTGCATGTTTAACAATGGAACTCTTATCTCACTGTGAGATGCTGAAATTCTGTGTCAATACCAGGAAGAAAACTAAATTCTGCTCTGGGATTCAAACCCAAACAGCCCAAGTTCAAAACCAAAAATGTTGCTATTGTAAATGAGCTTTGTAATTCAATCATAAGAATGTTCTGTGGGATTCTAATGTTTTGAAAGATAATGAAAATTCTAGTTCAATAACCTTGTTGTACAAGAACTGACATACACTCTGAAGAAAGGAATCTGACACCAGATTTTATCCACATATTTGAAGCAGATTAAGATGAATAAACTATAGCCTGATTTTGTTTTTCTGTCAAATATCTGCTGCAGCTCCCAAACAACTGGACAGAATGCAGTGCTTTCACCTGAAGTCAGAAATTTCATCTTATGTTGTCCAAAATTTCTTCCTTGTGGCAGAATCATACTTAACATTTCTTCAAAACAAAGTGAATACTCCCAAATGTTTCCTTTTTTCATTACTCTGGCTGATTGTTCATGAACTTTAAGTTCCAGTATAGTGGATGGATGCAGGCCCCAGATAGCAAAGGTCACATTGGTACAGAATTTTGAGAAGAGGTACATGTATGAGAGAGAAGCTAGAACTAAGTGTCTTTTTTTGGGAACTGATATTCTGAATCCAAAAAGCTGTACATTGAGTTACTCACAAAAAGACAGTTTTTGTCCTATCAAGACTCAGAATATAACCAGAAAAATAAATAAAAGAATTACATCAAAATTCTTCTATGCCCATCTAAATGCATTTGACATGTCAGAATAAATTCCTCCTCTGTATTTGTTCCATTTACTTGAAAGTTTTATGGGGGGAAAAGAGAAAAATAATTCTCTTTTCTTTCATCCCCACCTGCAAGTTAATCATTAGAAAGAATCCTAGAAGAGACAGTTCATTTCCTCACAATCACTTTTCTGTCTGTTGCATCAAACAGGGAAAAACCAACAGTAAGCTATACATTTGTCACACATTGAGAATTTAAGGAAAAGCATGCTGGAGGACTTTCCATGTTGTCTAAATGTTTTTAGTAATTCAATTAAATGAACATGAAGGAAAAGATTTAAACCAAACTTTATGAGATTCATATGTGATTATATTATGACAAGGAGAGAATTATTGCCTTTCAACATCTCTAAGATAACAGTCACCAATAAAACAGCACTAAGAAGTTTGGGAAAGAAAACAATTTGTCAGAAGCTTTCAAAGGAAGAGGCATAATTTGAGATTGTGTCTTTTTCTTCCCATACATAAATGAAACAGGTCTAGATTGTGGTGCTGCTTACAGACTTACATGGCATTCCTTTGATAGGGAATGCCAGGTACATCACAAATACTTATGTCCTCCACCTCTTCCTTCACATTTGAGGAAACAAACTCAGAGAAAATATATTGTTTTTCTTATTTGATCCTGCATGCAAGGAGCTGGCATAGTTTCATGTACTATATGTTTTCAAAACAAGATTCTTTCAAGTATTTATGCTTAATAGTTATATGCAAATTGATGCTTTGACTATTGGAAGACAAAATTGCCTCCATAGAGCTGCAAAGTTTGATCTATAGCAATGCAGTTTTTCTTCCTATATTCCACTAAAAAATGGATCCTAAGTTATATTTTTAGACTCTTGAAATTTTTTTCAAAAACTTAGCTAAGGGAAGAAGACAATTGAGTTGAGTTATATTTGCTCAAAATAGACACAATGAATTTCTTACAGTAAGAATAAAATGTCTAGGGATAATTCTTTAATGAAGTCCTAAAGACTTAAGATCAATTTTTGAAATGACCATGGCTGGTTTACATCTACAATTCTTTCTGACAGAAGATCTTTGTTAAACAAAGCAAATTATAATTGCCTTTTAGTGATTTATTACAGATTGCTCACTGTCCCCCAAAACCAGTACCCTCCATAAGAAAAAAAAATATTATAAATAGACCATGAAGTCTTATCTTGCACAGAACATTTTTTTACTAGTTCCAGAAAATGACTGTATTTTATTACTATTATATTTAGCTTGCTATACTGAATTTTAAATATTGGAATAAGCATGGAGTTTTGCCATCTTTGACAAATGCACACCATCTCTAGTTCACATATTCTATTGTACAGAATCATTTTATGAGCTTACCTCCAATATCTGGCCGAAGCTTATTGTCATATCCTTGAAGTAAGGAGTCCAATATGTGAGTTACATCACCACCATGAATCTTTGGTGCAAGGACCCATGTTTTATTCACCATTAGATCTTCATCGTCCTCATCATCTGCTTTATCAGCTCTATGTTGTGTGATTAAAAAAAAGAAAAAAAAACAAAAACCAAGGAAGGTTTGGAAAAACACAAGACACAGTGAAACTGAATAAACAAGAGTTGGAGAAGAAAAAGATAAAAATATTGAACACTACTTAAAATAGTTTGTGCAAACACAAATGCATTCTAGTGCCAAAAGAAACAGGCCCTTATTTACAATAGATATATTTACCAACATTTTGTTTTATGATGGTGGAGAGTGGGTTAATAGAGGCATTTACACATCACCCGTATAGAAAATCTCAAGCCATGAGTCAAACCCACAAAAGCAGCAGCAGGCATCATCTTACCATCAGCCTTTTCCTGTTTTAAAACAGAAGTGCAATTCCAAAGCTTTTCCGTACATGCATTTCTTTTCCAAGAAATGCTGCTGATATTTCTAAGAGATGCTTAATCTTCATAATAGCATACCTATTGCATGCTACTTAAAAGAGCATCAACTGAATCTCCTTCCTAGTAGCCTTGTATACTTATTAAACTCCATTCACATTTTAAGCAAGCAAACATTACACCCATGTGCTACAACTAAGCATTAGCAGAAGCAGAAGCTGCAGTCATATGCCAATTATATAGCTGTATGTATACATGGTATAGTTAACTGAAAGGAATGCTACACCATTTTCAGACCATTTGTTAGCTACCTATTTTATCAAGATTAAACAAATTGTACAAGGAAAATAATTACACATTCATTTATTACCTATCTTTTAATTAGATAAGCAGCAGTAGACAACTAATCCCTAGATCATTTTAAAAAATTGCAATACCTTGGTTGCATCTGCAAATTCACTCAGATACCACCAAAAGATCAAAGAATGCCTGAAAGTAGTTTTCTTTCCATTTCAATCAAATGAGTATGGACTTCAGTATTTCTCCAGTGCTAAAAACTGCAACCTATATTACTCATCCAGTTTATTTCAAGGAAATCCTATGGGCTTGAGGTCAAGCAAACTGCTCGAGACTGACAGCAGTAACTAACACAACCTACCTTCACAAATGGGCACTGGCTAGCAATTACAGAAAATATGCAGCCCCTATAAATCAGATTCAATGTTAACACAAGCACAATATTCCAGTAAAAGGAAGGAATTATATTAATATCCTTGTGCCAATTCACACTGTACACCAAAACTAAAAATGTTACTGCTTTATTAAGGGCTTCTAAATTACACAGACATAAGCTGCCCTCAAAACTAAGAGTGGAAATTTTCAGCAAATTTACTACAAGAAAGAAGACCACCAGTGTGTTCCATGTAAAGAAAGGACAGAAAAAGTCAGGAAAGGACAGAGTGAGAGAAGGCATGCCTGCCTTTTGCTGCAGCCCTTTGTGGGAATGCCTCAAACCAGTCTGTAGTAGAAAGGCCTTGCATCACCTCTTGGATAACACTAGCAAGTCTCACTGAAAATCAAAACTGTCATGGCTGTGGAAACTCTCAGTGGTTTTGGCATGCCTACTTAATTTGGGAAGTGAAACCTTGCCACAGCTCAATAGGTTTCCAGAGGATGAACAAAAGGCACTGTTCAGATATCAGAGCTTTCATACCTAGCTTGCTGCAAACAAGTTGAAAGAGTCTATTATAGCAGAAAGTAATACGCAGTCTAAATACAAGGCTCACTGACAGCTCCCCTGTAACAGCCTGAAAAGTGCTTTCATTCTTTTAAATTGAAATGCATCATAAAATACTAAATCTTTACTGCACTACATAGAGAAATGTCAGATATTAAATATTTAACATTTCCCATTAGCAGGATCCCACTAATGGGAGCACTAAAACTAGGAAGCTAAGTTTTGTAAATGTACACTCTTTCTCCCTCAGAGCTACCTATTTCTTTCATGTGTTGTTGCCACACATCTTTTTTTTTATTATTATTATTATATCTATTTATGGTCTGCTTGCACTTTTTGGCGTCTAATTACTTTATAAATTATCTTAGAGTTGCTCAGAGTGCAGAGGCAATCCCAGCTTTTTCCCAGAGGCATTAAGATGATGAGGAGTTAAAAGTTAATTTATAACTAGCTCCCTAAGGAAAGACACATAACTACCACCAAACTGACCTTCTTCTTTTTGTCTTCCATCCCATAAACAGTAGAAAGTATACTGAAATTATATATTCAGGGCACTTGATTCTCTGGATCAGCCCAGTTATTTGCAGAGTTTGAAGTGATTATGACACTACTTTGTTCTGCTTTAAAGTTTTTTCCACAAAGCTATTAAGAACAGCAGAGATTTAGCCAAAATGGAAAGTACATGAGGTCAAGCCATGACCACCTAAACCAAATAGGAGTTACAACCACAACACCTCAACTCAAAGTCACTTGAATATCTTGACATTTCAAAGAGTCCTTAATTTTATTTATAGATTCACAGGACAAATCACATTGGAAAGAGATCATGAGAGGTCTCTCTAGTCCAGCCTTCTGCTCAAAGCAGGGCTTGCTCTAAGGTCACAGCAGGTTGCTCATGGCTTGCTCAGGTTGGTTATTGCAGACATCCAAAAATGGAAGCTGCACAATCTCTCTGAGCAACCTGATCTCCACTTGGCTCTTTTCTACGATTTAATATATTTAAATTAACTGGAAATTAACAAGAAGAAAAAATGAAAATAAAAACAGATTTCAGACTTTCACTTTTAATTTTTTCACTTTCTGTCTTACTTAACTGGAGTATCTCTAGTCCTCCTCCAATTTTAAAACTCTGAACTACAAACAGGTATACAATGACGGCTTACAGAAAGCTATTAATTCAATTCTAGGGGGAGAGGGAAAAATTCCAACCCAATATCTGAGTGATTTTTCCAGGCACCAGTAAATAAATCCATTTAAGAAGGTAGTTTTATTAGAGGCAACATTTCTTTACTTGGTGTCTGACAAGTCTTGATTTAAAATGCGCATTTCTAACTATTTACATGGAACTACTTGATTTTATCTAGGAAATATTGTATCCCGAAAAAAAAGCCAACTGCACGAAAAGAAACACAATTGACTTCTACACTAGTACACAAGGCCAACAAGAGCTTGTGACTCACTAACCCATTTGCTAAACTGGCAAAGAAACCAACATGAATCAAATAATGTAACCAAACGTGTGGAAGACCTGTTCTACATGGTGAAAACAGCTATTCTTACTCTATTCCTATCTTACCAGCCATTTCACAGGTGATTGAGTGAGATGAAGCCATCTCACTAGCTGAAAACCATCTTCTAAACTTGTCTTTAAAATGTGCCCAAGACCACCAAGAGCGCAGTAAAGACTATAGTATCTCCAAAATGTGATGGCACCCAGTTCTACAGTTCTGATTCCTAAACCACAGCCACTGATGTGCAGCAACAAGACTGTGCTAAGAATGAATGATACGGGATGGAAGAAGGTAGTGACCAGAATATAGAGAACTTTGTACACCCTCCAATTAAGCAGAGCACATCACCTCGCAACTTGAATTGTCAATCCAGTTGGTTTGGGAGGAGTTGCACCAAGCTCCCTCAAAAGAGCATCTAGTCATGTGAAGGCAACAGGACAGGCACTGTGTACATAGTCACTTCTAGGAACCTGAATTACCAACATTTGTCATGCTAAACAGATTTGAATTAGTTTGTTTTAAAGACAGAAATCCCTTCAGATGTAAAAAGTCTGCAGAATCAGTTGAGATAGTGTTATCAGTTAATCGACCTTGCTAGACAATGTTCTATAAAGAAACATTCACTTTAGTAAACAAGATGGGTCAAACCTGTTAATCTTTCACCAGGTTTTTGGGTATCTCCAGCATTTTCTCCAGGGTTTGGAATAGGATAGAAGGAAAAACAGAAGGCAACAAACTTCATTCCAAACCAGAAAACAAAATGTTAAATTCAGGTATGGCATTCAATTATTTAGTGACAGTTAACTTGGGCTGAAGACCTTTTTAATTCTTTGCCATTAAAACAAATCTAAAAAACCTATGAAGATTAATGTCAATTAACACCATTCCTACTTTAATGGCAGCACTATCATGTCTCTTTCACAACCCCAAGAAGAAAGGCAAGCTTAATTAAAGAGGAATTCTTTTCCTTTCCAAGTTAATCTAAAGGTTATTTCACTATACACAGAACATAATACTTGACCATCTCTCCATTTACTGTAAAATATATTTGTTCCAGCTAAGTTCACTCACTGTATTTTTTAGAATGTCTGGAGAGATTATGATTTAGAACAAAAATACATCATCAAACATTAAAACATTTCTGTTCCATGGCACAGTGCTACTTTAAGTCTATTAATGCAGGTGCTAATTCTGATTTTAATGATTTTATAAATAAGAAAGAGACCTCACCTCTTAAGATGCTTGTTGTTGTAACACTTCAGGTACCCTCATAAACTCAACAGTAAACTGCATGTACACAGCTACCAGCAATTAGGCAAAAAGTGCCTCCATTATGGTCTCTGTCCTTCAACTAACTGGAAACATTACCATGACTAAGAAATCTCTGGGCACAAATGACAAAGTACTAAATAAGTCTTTTCAACATCAGGCAACATGCTTCTCTTCAGCCATTAATACCATAGGTTTTTGTTCTCCATTAAATATAAGAAAAATCAAGTGACCTTTGTGTTGCAATTAACATCTGTCAAGTTATGCAATGGACTGGAAAAAAAATGAATATAGTGAAAGTGTTCTGACTGCTATCTGGATCATGCATGTCAAAGTATTACACCCAGAAGTACATGTATGCTGTAAGTGAGAGTATTTAAATATAGCTAAGCATCAATTCAGTTGTCCATTCCCGGCTCCTATTCCTATCCAACACACACAAGGATATCCAGTCTTCCAAGATGGGCTGATTTATAGGGAACCTGTAGACATCTGGAAAAGAAGAGACTTGTCAAGGAACCTGAGTTATCTCTGCTGAAGCTTTGAGTCTGTGCACAAGCAACTCAGTCAAGCTCTTGGTATCTGTGAGGTTTAGACAACCTTCATAGGGACCTTGTCTATT